CAAACCCTAACACTTGATTGGTCCACGCGGACCGCGACCGGATTGGCTGACTGAACGGCTGTGATTGGCGCGCTTTGAATCTACCGCGATTGGTTGAGCCAATCGCGGGAGATTCAGAGTGTTGTCATTGGCCGCCGAGCCGCGAGCAATCCCTATATGAGGGATTGCCACGGCTCCAAGTTTTTGTACTGAACTTTAACTAAATAAAGAGCTGAACGTTACTGTTGGTCTCGCGTCTCTTTGGGAACCGATCTACCCAATCTAACAGGGAATATAATCTATAACACAGTCCCTAATACTTTAACCAACATCAAAAAGGAGAGTCAGAAAGTTGGGATGCTGGATAAGGCAGGTTTTCCTGCCAATGGAAGAACCATCCTGCCCAACTCGAACACTGAAAACTTTCTGCTTCACAGCTATTCCTCCTGCATCAAACTTCAGCCAGAAGTTAATTGGCTCAGCCACAGTATAACTATCTAAGACAGAGGCGTGGTACCCATGTTACATGCAGGGCGTCTGTGTGGATGTGGTTTTAGAAACCAAGTGATCTAATGTATTCTTGGCTTCACTAGAACCAAAGTGAGCAACAAGGAGTAGCATTTACTAGAGATCTGAGTTCTATAATCAAGAAACCTCTAAGGCTCTCTGGAACTTCTAATGTGTGTGTGTGGTTTTTTTTTCAGAGTATCTACTGATTTCCATTGTTTCTCTTTTGTTTTTAAAAGTAAGGTTTTAGGCCTCATGAACTGAAGAGTTCTACAAAGAATAAGTTAAAACTCATGAAAACTGTCTGCAATAGTTTTCAGTGCTCTGATTAGGAGAAATTGTGGCATGTATGTTTCCTGTTTTTTATTTTTATATCTTATCTTTCCATATTTAATATACATATTGGTCCTCTTAGATCTTCTCGTTCATATATCATGCTCAAGAAATGTGAGAATAAAATATGTAAACGTTTAAGTAGAATAAAATATATAAACCGTTACTCCCAGAGGATTTTATGTGCAAGTGATTTCTTTTCATGCAGAAAATAACATTTTATTCCCTGTGAATTGTCATACATCACTGCCATGAAAGGGTAGTTATTGGACTCCGATTCAGAAATTGGCAATCTTATATACTTTAGGTATTGTGGTTGTACAATTTAAGCTGTAAGCATAGAATTTCAGTTTGTTTTACACTAGCCAAAAGATCAGAAAAAAAGAAGCATTCAATTCACCTGGACTCTTAAAATAACATTAACAAGAATAATGATTCGTGTATGTTTCATTTTTCTATGGGAAAAGAAGCAAGGGCATTTTTCCAAGTAGATTTAAATCAATCTATAATTCTTTTGGTTTCTGGTAATATGATTCAATTATTATCATTTTAAATTCCTGACATTTATTATTTTTAAGTTTGTTCTTGATGCTAAGGAATGGACAATTTACCATAATGTGTTAAATGGGTTGGATTCATCTATTCAAGCAGTAATTGTCTTTTATAAACTACAGGAACACTAAGAAAATGTATTTTTTTTTCTTACAGTTGTAACAGAGATCTGCTCCTGTACCATTAAAATCAACCCTAACATAAGAAATTAAGCAGATTTCTTGCCCTTTGATCTTCATGTCACAAAAAGTTTAACTTACTTTAATTCTTCCTACTAGGAGACTTTGGAGCTTAAAAATCACAGTCAAAAATTTTATGATGGTGATGACTGAGAGCAAAAAAACATGCATTCACATCAATTTGATTATGAATATCTTTGCTAGGAGGGAGATAATCTGCTGTATTTCAATATCTCTTCCGCATATGAAACAATAGATAATTTTCCTAGGGTTCTAATGGAAAAAACTCAGGATTATGTGGTAGAATTCTGTTACAGCAGAAAAGGACAAACATAAAAGTTATGCATCTTACAAGTCATTACCAACGAAGGTAATTTTTACTCGGTTACTGCGGGTGATCAAAGTATTGTTTGTAGCTTTCAACTCACCATTCCTAACAAGGTGCAATTTTGGATTCATCACTCAGCATAAGTTGCTCTTCTCTAATAAAATGAGGAAGACACAAGGAAAAGGAAAATCCCATGTATGAAGGTCCTTTGAATATTTATGTGGGGTTTCTTTTTTAAAAGAAATTCCAGAAGTACAAAACATTCTTAAATTGCTATGTTCTTTGAAAGAAAGCTCTTGTTTAGTAGCACTGATTTTCCTGAGAAATAGAAATCAATTAAGCTGGCAGCTGTATAAAAAATTTAATAACCGCCTTTATGTGGTCAGCTAAGGCATATTAATGTAGAAAGAAATTGTACATAAACAAAAGTGCTTCAAATATTATGTGTAGTTGGCTTTGTACTCTTGTTTCTCTTGGAGGATCAGCATTGTCCTATGGGCCTGTGAGATGAAGATTCTATTAGGAACACTTGTTTTCAGGTAGACCACCCATCTCTGGGTATCCACCGAACCCAGTGGGTAATAGCCTAATATCCCTTGTGCTTTGAAAACAAAAGGTACTGGGTTAGCTTCACAGTGGCATTTGGATTTTTTTTTTAAATTTTGAATTCTAGGAAAAGGAAGTACTGTATGCACACAGTAGACATATTCAGTTGTTTATAGGATCTTGAGTGTTCAGAGGAAGACATAAGGAAGACATGAGATGAAGGATAGGCAATAATTTCACTGTTCATATGTAAGAGATGAGCAAGCTAACCTGAGTTGGAAGGCGGCATTGAATGTATCCTCAGTTTGGAATCTTTGTACTTCCACAAGAGATCTAAGTTCAGTCTTCTGTTAATTCCATTGACCCTTAGCTAGAACTAGTTTAGCTTTGATCTTAATTGACCAGACTCTTGTGTATAGGTAGCAATAACAAACTCTTCAGTGCTTTGAGTTCAGTGAGTGGTCCTGGTTCTTTGCGCCTGACATTGCATTATATTCCCAAACATTTTTTTAAAAAGAGCACTACAAAACATTTAAATCTGCAAAATGTTTTCTTAAACAGATAGTTTTGATTAAGATGAGGGGCAGAATGGAAGCCGTGCCAAAGAGACACAAACTATGGATTGATGACTAAAGGACAAAATTGTTGTCTGGGTGATTAATCAAATTACCATAACTGCATAAGTGTCATTCTGTGGCCAAATGAAAAAGTTACCTGATGAGATTTAGTTTGTCATACTCCAAAATTCAGCTCCAAGATGAAAGTGAAAAGCATTTTCAATAATGTTGGGCAATTTATATTTAAGTAGGTAATTGCCATAATTCCTTAGGTAGATGATAAATGAATAAGAGGAAGATGGGCAGTTAAATAAAGTAAAATAAAATAAATAAATAAAATATGAACTAAATAAGATCCTCAGATTCATACTGAAAAATTTGTAAAGCAAAAGTATAAAATGAGATTGATTTTTAGGAATGAGTTTTATTTCTATGCTTTGATAAACTCTGTGTTTTATCAACAGACAGCATCCAAAACAGATAACCTGAAAAGCTGATTTCAGGTCTCACTGAACTGATTGGACTGATTTAAATCAGAAAGGAATGAATTGGAAGATATTCTCTAACTACTATCACCTAATGGTACAGAAGCAAATTAAACATAATGAGCATATTTTCTGTCTGTGTGCTGCTGAAATTTATAGAAGCTGTGGGGCAGCTGTTGCACAAATCTTATGCAACAGGTCTTATGCCAAAGAATGCCACACTAGATGGGGGATATCCAGGGACATATTTGCTTTCCTTATGGACTTTCCTCTTGTGTGTCAAAGAAGGCGGGATGATGTACATGAGAAATATTTCTTGTATGCCATAAATATTTCAGATCCTAGGTCCTTTATCAAGGGCTCTGAAAACTCTGCCATTTCTCAAACAGGTGTCAGGCATTTTGAAGAATACCTCTATTTTCTATTTATGCCTAGACAAAACTGGAGGCCAGTTAATGAGATCTACTACATACAGAGAAAGCCTCGCACCTATTTCAGGTAGCAGCCCCTTCATTCACACACAGAAGACTGCAATTTGGTGGCTACCCATTGAAGATGGATATCTCCTGAATCCTCTGTAGTTATTGGAAAATAAGATTTTTTCCCCCTCCAGGATGTGTTTTCCTATCCTTTGTCTTGCCTTTGGACAGACTGATTCCCCACCAGGTTGTCGGTGAATCCTGACAGTCCCCAAAAGTAGGTGTAAGCTCTTTAGCTGAGGCTGATGTGGGCTAAGTTACCCTACCTTTGCAACAACTTGCTAATTCAAAAGAAGGCATTGTGGCAGGACTCAAGAGTGTCTTTCTTGTCAACGAATCAGCAGCAGAAATGCTAATTGAGATCCTAACATTATTGCACAGACTGAAGAGACTCAGTTTAACACTCAACTAGCTGACAGCTGTAACAAAGCTCCAAGATACTCAATGGCTGCTCACTTTGGTGAATGTCCTTCATTCTTAAATCTTAGCCCAGCTCTTACCGATAATATCTCTTGGATTCAAATCCCTTTTGTACAATTGAGGTAATCTTTTCACAGCTCAGACACCAGTCCCATGTATACCCTACATCATATTAAAGTTATGATTTGTTGACTGAGCCTGTAAGTGTCAGGAGTTCATACATCATGTATACCGAAATTTACAATTTACAGTGACTGGATTCAAGCAACATGCCAAACACACTATGTTAGAGTTTATCACATTTCACAAACCGATCAGTGCACTGATGAAAACAAGAATTGTTACAGAGCAATGAAATTAAAATGTATGCCCTTTCCATTCAGGTACACAGTTGTAGAGAAAGATAGGAAGATAATTGCCAAAAAGGTCTAGAAAATCAAATGTCAAAAAATCTCCAGAAACTATGACAAATACTTCCCCCATTGTGCAGTCAGCCAGTTAAGCCAATACAAGCACATTTCCTGGCTGCAAGATAGACAAACAATTGGGCACATCTAAGCCTGTTACTGAAATGGGACAGAAGCATTGCCAGGCTAAGGGCAGCCCCACAAAGCAAAAAGGGATGAATGTATTACCTTGACGGATGGACACGTATCTGCCATTGGAAGCCATGAAAACCACTTGCGGATGACTCTCTTCCAGATCGAAGAGTTCGTCTTTGCCTGGCTTGGAGCTCCTGCCAGATTTTAGAGTGCCCGTAGGTCCCATTGGTGCTAGGTATTTCCCATCACAATCCTTGAAGGCCAACTTCCCTGCCTTGAATTCCAGGGTATAACCTGAATGGCGGTCAGGCTCCTGGACCAAGGTACCATCGTTGCGCAGGTAGCGATTGTCGCAGGTTCGTAGGCAATACTTCTTGTTCTGGAAGGTAAGGGTGATAAGCGAATCCACACCCCAAGGGATGTTGCTGTCTATAGAGATCTCATCCTCTTGGGCACTGAGGTGAGCATATCTCCGCCTGCTAACACTCAAAAGATTAGCTTGGGGGTGGATGGCCAAATGTACCACCCAGAGTTCAGCTTCAGTAATGGTTTGGGCGAAACAAGACAGCCTGTCTTCAGAACCACCAAAGAAGCGCTTGTACCGTTCTGACTGGAGCGCCCAGCGTCCGTCTGACTGAGTGACAATGATAAAACACCCATCCGTTTCTGGCTTCTCGGCTTCACAGGAGACCTTGCCATCCTTGTCGGCAGACAGGTACCTACCTAGGTGGCTCTTTAAGAAGACCACCGAGCTGTCTCCATCCTGTTCCAGGCTCCATATTTGTTTCCTTTTCAGACTCGGTGCCGAAGCATTGATTTTGTAGCCAAAGTGCTCTGCTGTTAAATAGCGATTATCAGAGTTGATTAAGCCAAACTGGATCTTCAAGGCCTGGTGGATCCCATTGGTTGGCATCTTCAGTCTAGGCAGCAAACAATCCTAAAGACTGGGGTGAAAGTCAAGTTTTCCCAGTTATTAATAGGTATAAATGTTTTTCCCAGCCTCACAATTGAGGAATCTAGATTAAAACAAATGAGCGTTTCACATCTCAGTCAAAGCCACCGGTGACCTGCAAATGCTCCAGTCCCAGGCCAGCCTGCAGCAGCTTTTCCTTCATCTAATCTGCAGCCCATAAACCCAATCTTGTTCATTACTTTTTCCCCGCCCTCCACACCTCCTCGAGCTGGCAGCATTGCTCTCTCCTGCGCTGCTCACATTGACTTCTCCTCCTCCTCTGCACGGCACAGCAGGGATTGGGGGGAGGAGGAAAGTAGGCACTTAGCACTGCACCAGCCTTGCTTAATTAGCACAGCTAGGATTACAAAGCTTTCAATGAGCTGCCAGCCTCCTGTAACCAATAGTGGAGCTTCTAGATAAAAGCCACAAGGAAAAGGGGTTGACAGATGGCACAATGGCCTTTTAATCAGCTGTGTTCTTCGGTGGGATCTTGTATTCTACAATAGTGGCGTTCTGCACTATAGCTCCGTTTCTTTTCCTTTGCTGTCTCAGTATCTCTAAATGTTTCATAGATTCCCTACCTAACTCCTTCACATCTCAGGGCTACGGTACATTGCAACCAAACCTGCTGCCTTTCTGCTTCATTTTCTCTGCAGAGGATTTATTCCTCTTTGTCTCTGTGTAAAGTTACATGGTTCTCTGATTCCATATGGTAGGTCACCTTCGAGCTGAATGCCTCTTTGGTCCAGCTTCTAATCTCCTTAACAATTAAAAGGGCCTTTCTATTAGCATAATTCTTTTATCCTCCTTCGGATTCTTTGCCTCCATCTGTTAAGTAGCACCAAATCCATAGCTCCTTTAAAAGGAAAGTGGCAGGATCCCTTAAGTTTAAGGAAATGGTCTGCCCAGAAGTTGAATCAGGGCAGCCTATAAAGCAAATGTAGCCAGCTAGGATGGCAAACCCATGTCTTGAATAAGTCCCTCTTAAAGAAATGCTGTTTAATTTAAACACAAAATCTTGGCATCTGATAAAGCAGAAAATATTCAAAATACAGAACGGAAGTGTTGAAAGAAATATCCATCTTGGTTCATTTCCCAGTGTGGAACTGGAAACATGGAGGCTGTTTGGAAAAATGGTTTAATGGTGGACAGGATCACATGTCTTGGAGCTCTTGAGCGAAGAAAAGGGAAGAGATGCTGAGAGTCCTTGGGTTTTATGCCCTCTCTGGGCTTTGAACTTCCTAGGGCACAGGAAGAGTATCCTGATTGGCTGCTGTCATAGCTAGCTTTGTCGGTTGTCTGTGTGCTAAGTTTGGTTGAAACTTGGTGGGTGGCGCAATGAAGGGCAATTAAATGGCTCTGCCTGAAGGAGGTAGATCTTTGTTATGTAGAATAGACTGGACCAGGCCTTAATGGAGCATTAACGGGGGGGGGCTGAGTTTCTACCTCTCTGAGTTTCTACTTCTCTTTCAGGAGAAATATTCTGCCTCTTTAATATATCCTAAAATATTTCATTTTTCTAGGAGAGGGGTGGGTTTTAACTTCCAACAGAAGCTACACCAAGTACCCTATTTATGGAGTTGCTATGAAACAACACCAAATTTATGGCATATAATCAATCAATTATCTGCAATGGATTCCAGCTTTCCATCTAGTTATTCCATTAGGCAAAATGTGGCTACTTCCTTAGGTAGCAGTTCCCAAAGTATCTGGCATTTCTCCTAAGCTTCCAGGCTAGTTAGTTGCTTTCAGGTGCAGTGAAGGACTTTGTGTTTCTAGATCAGGAATGTCAAACTAGCGTCATCCCGTCGTCGTCACATGATGTATCGTGACTTTTTTCCCCTTTGCTAAACCGGACGAGGGTGTCGCCAGCGTGTGGTGCATCTGGCCCGTGCAGTGGTGTATTAACCATTAAGTAGACTAAACACGCGTTTAGGGCTCCAGGCCCAAAGGGGGCACCACAAAGTTGAGAATATGGCTTCGTTTGTACAGTATGTACAAAGGGGGGGGGGGGCAACAAGATTTGTCAGTGCTTAGGGCACCAGTGAGCCTTAATACGCCACTGGGGCCATGGGCTGCAAGTTTGACACCCTGCCCTAGATAGAAAACAAAAACAAAAACACACCCACCTGCTTCTAGATAGAAGAGGGCAAGGGACACCGAGGAGATAGGCAACTTGGACTTATGGAGAAACTTCCTAACAGGGAGGCCAATTAACCAGTGGAACTGCTTGCCTTCAGAAGTTGTGGTTACTTCATCACTGGAGGTTTTCAAGAAGAGACTGGACAGCCACTTGTCTGAAATGGCATAGGGTCTCCTGCTTGAGCAGGGGGTTGGACTAGAAGACCTTCAAGGTCCCTTCCAGCTCTATCCTGCTGGACTGGACCTTCCATGCTGTCCTTTGTCAGCAGTTGCTTTTCCACCCCCTTCTTTTCCTCTAGACTGCCTTGAACCCATAGAAAAATATGTTTCTGAGATTAGAAGATATTGGGAAAACTCTAAGGGTGTGAAGATGGAATGGAGAGTTAGTAGAGGCACAATATAATATTGGAATTGATATTGGTGGTGAGACACGCATGGGAAACTTACTCTTGGACAAAGTTTAAGTAGGGTGAAAGGAACAGCTCACTGCTTGGGTGCTGCATGAGTCAGAGGGGAGTCCAGAGAGTGGGGCATAATGCTAGTATAGACAGTCCTCAATTTATGACCATTCACTTAGTGACTGTTTCAGGTTACAACAGCACTGGAAAAAGTGGTCTTCGCACCTACAACTGTCCCAGCCTCCCCATGGCCACGTGATCAAAATTTGGGTGCTTGGCAACCAGCATGTATTTATCATGATTGTAGCATTCCAGGGTCATGTGACCACCATCTGTAACCTTCCCAGCAGGCTTCTGAAAAGCAAATTCATAGCAGAAGTCAGATTCACTTAAAGACCGCTTACTTTCTGCTGCTTGTGCAAATTGCTGATTTTTTGCTCCCAACGTGATTACATGGCTGGGGTGGCTTTCAGACGTTGTTCAGCATCGTCCAATGGCCCGGACAAATTCTTCCTGTCGTGTATGGAATTAGAGTAAAGAGGACTGCATTCTACACTGTGCTGCTTGCCTTTCTTAAAAGAAGCTACATGGCCATTTTTATCCCAAATAAAATCTGGGCTGTAAAAAAACCCAGAAGACCCCTAAAATGGCAACAAAGAGGTTTTCTGATCTAGCAGCTTTATCCTCTCTCTTCCAGCACAATTAGGTCCCTATCAAACTAGCAGAAGCTGATCCTTCTAAGTGAGCACTAGCTGAGCTGACTCAGACTCGTCAATACTTCATTGTTCAAGGACAAAAAGAGAACACAGTAGTATCACTGAGCTTCCCTAGTTAAGAAATGCGTACTGGAGTATCTGTGTATCTATCCTTCCAATTCACCTAACCTGCATCTTTCTAGATAGGAGCAAAGAAAAAAAAATATATCAGGTGACCCACTCCATGAATTGCTCCCCACTTCATCTTTTACTTCAACTTCTAAAGGAGAATATGGTTAAATGGAAAGAACAATTATTCCAACCATTATTTCATTAAGCCCCATTTCCTGATACCACCTGAATGTTGTGGATACATAAATTTCTTCCATAGATCAGATCCAGTTCCAGATTTCTGGGATATCTATATATAAAGAAGTATTCCTTTACATAAAGCCACCATTTTCCAGCCCATCTGCTACATATTCTCCAAACAAGTTTGCCCTAATTTTCTTCTAATAATCTAGCTGTGTACTCTTACAATCTGAATTTTCATTTCCTGGTTACAGAATGGAAAAACCAGTTTTTGTTCTTGATGGATTTAAACAATTTATCTTTAAGTATCTAAAATATGAGCAGCTGTAGCTGGATTTATTGACTCTCTTCATTCTGAAACTAACAGGAAGAGCCTCCTGCACGTGTGAATCAAGTATTTGCAGAATCAATCCTGCAGCTGTAGGAAGAAAGCCTTTGTTCTGGTGAATGTCAGTTCCTCTGCCTCTGCTTGAAGGAAGCCACAGATATTTCCTCTAGCCCTGCCTGCTTCCGTTCTTTAATCTTTTTCTCTCCTACAACGGATTTGGAAAGGCAGCTACTACATATTCTGTTAGAGTGCCTTTTCAAAATGGTGGGTCAAAGAACAAGGCCCACACCTTCTAATCTGCTGCTTTCCTCTTCAGCAAATGGTTGGAAAGTTTCAGAGATATGAGACTCCTTTAAAGCAGGAAAAAGCAGAGTAGATTATTAATAAATAAAATTATTTTTGTCTCCTGGGGTAGTTAATCTTCTTTAGCTCAGCTGGAAGATGGTTCCCCTCTGAGTGTTGTTGGCAGTGCATTCATTTAGGCCAGAGGATAGGCAATTTTCTGCAGACAAAGAAGAACATGGGAATTGGTAGCTAGCACAGGCCTGGATGACAGAAAAGTGTTAGAATTAACTATGGTGCACTGTACAGTAGATTTTTGCTGACATTTTGTGCACAACTGGTAGCCTGAAATAAAACCAGAGAAAAATTGATTATGGGTGGCTAATCTTTGATTTAATCCCAAACTGAGTAATTTTGTTTTACCAATAGAGTTAGTCAAATTCAATCACTTTCTATTGTTTTCATATTAAAAATGAATATGAAAGATGAATAATCAGAACCAAATCCAGACATCGAATATTTAATACCATGCGTGCTTTGTGGAATCTAGAAGATGGTGAAACAGGATAAAGCCAGATGACATTGATAAAGGAGAATGTAGCTCAGGGTTGAACTGTGGGGTCCTTGGTGCTCTCTGAGCTTGGCTGTTTTCTTGCAGATGGTTCATTACCCAACTATTGTTGCACTGATGATGATACTTAGCTGGGTAATAAAATGTCTGCAAGACAACAACCAAGCTCAGAGAGCACCACGGACCCCATAACTTTATCTTGGTCTTCCAAATGCTGCAGTGGCCCGGGCATCGAGCAGAGGCACTCACTGGGCAGGGCTCAGCTCGGAGAAGGATGCGGCGCAGGCCGTCGCCTTGCCTCCCTGTCCATGGATGAGTGGGCGCTATCACTGCCTCAGGCGGCCTCTCCCGGTGGCCCCTTTGGGTTCGGGCTGGAGGGACTTGAGAAGGAAGCCAAGCTCA